TCCTCCTCATCATTCTGTTCTTCCTTCCCTCCTTTGCCTTTCACCTCCCTCCTTCCTGGTTCCTTCCTCCTTCCTTCCTCATTCTTTCCTCCTTCCTTCCTCCTTCCTTCCTCCTTCCTTCCCCCTTCCTTCCTCCTTCCGTCATTCCCCCTCCTCCCCAGCCTGCGTTTTCTCGACGACCTTCCTTCAAAGAGGAGCAACAAAAGAGAGAGAGGGAAACGGATGGCCTCGTAAAGCTTCTCAGTGTTAAGGCTGCTTTTTCTCATATTGTTGGCGTAGTCGAGCAACGTCGTCTTTCCCACTGGAGCTGTCAAGATTATCGCTTCAGCAATCTTTCCTGGGAGATCCTGGGCTTCCTCGGGCTCGTCGTCTGATTTCAGGCTGGCTTTCGAACACGATTTGGACTGAGCGAGCTTCGGGCTTTCTTTTGGCGGAGTGTAACTTCCTTTCTTTGGCGCCATCCCGCGCGCGCAAGGGGGACAGAAGGGGGGCCTGCTGAACGTGGACAGAAGGAAAGCTTGCTGAACAATTCGAACCCTGCGGGGCAACGACAGACAAAAAGGAGGCACAAATGCAACAACGCATGAACCAATGCAACACGACAAAGCAACCATGACAACGTTGCGCACGTACATTTCGAGCAGGTTACCACGCATAAACATCAGGAAACACCATATAACAATCGCACTGAAGGCTCATAACCCTGGCACCAAACACCATACGAACACCGTGACACACGTGACACCAAACACCATAAGAACACCAACCGCCATAAGAAGACCTTATGAAAAGTAAGCACACGTGACACCAGAGAACACAAGATAATGTCAGTTATCCCATAATAAAGTCATAACGATAATGTCATAATAACACATAACACATGCACCAAACACCATAATAACACGACAGGGCAATCGCACCGTGTTATGCACTGAACAATTTTCCATACATACCATGTGTATTCAGCGTTATATGGTGCAAGCGAATGCATTCGCATGCACCATATAACGCTGAACACACATGATCGCGAACACTTCATGTACGGATCCGAAATCGAACCGCGGATCCAAAACCATGGCACGGATCCACCAACAACGCGCGGATCCACCAACAACGCGCGGATCCACTTTGTAGCGGAACCGTTCAACGGATCCACCTCATGGCCACGTGACCACCGAAGTGGATCCGTGGATCCACCTTGGTGGATCCGTAGGACGCGATGCAGCTCAAAGGCAGCGGAGACATGCTCGTCGTCGCCCGGGAGATCGCCTGGCGGGCAGCTCGGTGGCCCCTGCACTTCGAGTGCGCCCACTTGCCCAAGGAGCTCAACCTCGTCGCCGACTCCCTGAGCCGTTTGGCGGCCGTGCCTCCCGCGGCGTTCCCAGCTAGGCTGCACGGCGTGCCGCGGAGCCCCGTGCCCGCGTGGCGCCAGGTGTGGCGGGCCCGGGTTCCCGAGTGAGACGTGCGCCGCGCCAGTCTCAGCCGCGCGCTCCCGGACGCCCAGCGGGGGCCTGGGCAGGGCGGCGCCAGGCCATGAAGGCGGCGCCGCCGCTCGGCTCCCGGGGCAAAGGCAGTGCAGGGCGGCGCGAGACCATATCAGCAGAGGGGTGGCTTGAAAAGTTTTGCTTTCATCGTCCCTACCTTTTCCTCGCCCCACCGGAGGTCCCCGGGGGCGGGGCGGGGCCGCCCCCGCGGGCGCCCAGCGGGCGTCCGGGGGGCGGCCGGGCGCCCCCCTGGGGAATTCTGAGCGCACCCTGGCGGGCGCTCAGAATTCGCTGGGCGGTGGCTGGGCGCCCCCGGGGAATTCTGAGCGCACCCTGGCGGGCGCTCAGAATTCGCCGGGCGGCGGCCGGGCGCCCCCGGTGAATTCTGGTCACCCGGCCCCCCGTGCGCACCCCTGGCCACCCGGCCCCCCGGCGCGCCCCCGGGCAAGGGAGATTCAGGGTTAAAACTGAGGCCTCAGTTTTAACCCTCACGAGGTCTCTGATGCCACATTTTGGAGGCCGCCCTCGAGATTCAGGGTTAAAACTGAGGCCTCAGTTTTAACCCTCACGAGGTCTCTGATGCCACATTTTGGAGGCCGCCCTCCCGGGCTAGTCAGAGGCATCCCCGCCCCCCCCCAGTCCGGTAGTGCCGCGGCCCGAGGTGGGCCGGCTCCGCGCCGTCGCCCACGGCGCGCCGCGCGCGCCATGTGCGCCTTCCAGCCGCGGTGGGATCTGGCAGCCAGCCTGGCAGGACGCAAACGGCGTCAGGTTGGGCAGGATCCAGGCCCGGCGTCTGCCAGGCATCGGGGTAGTCCACTCCTCGGCGCGGCAGATGGCAGCGTGTCGGGCCCCAGCCCGGCGCGGCCATGCCTGGCGCCAGGAGGCGGTGGTCCCCAGGGTACGGCGGCGCATCAGGGGGAGGCCGCGCGGCCGTCGATCCCTGGGTTGCGGGGCGAGGCGCCAGGGAGGCACCAGTACCGGAGGGGGTGCCTTGCGGACCTCACGTCGGCGCAGGCCCAGGCCCGCGCCCTCGAGCAGTTCGACGCGGAAGTGCTGGCGACGACGACCGCGAACTCGGAGGCGTCGCGCCGCCGGACGCTCAAGGCCATCTTCGAGCAGTGGGGCGTCGAGATGATCCCCCTGACCCGGCAGAAGATCAGGCGGCTGGGCGCTTCGCTGAAGGCTGGCGGATACAGGTCCGCAGCCCTGTACCTGTCGCTGGCAAAGAAGATGCACGTGCAGGCCGACCTCGACTTCCCCCCCTCCTTGGGCCAAGCCTTGGCCGAGGCACGGCGTTCGTGCGAGCGGGGGCTCGGGCCAGACCGCAAGGTCGAGGGCATTGCGATGGAGACGTTAGCCCAGCTCCGGACGGACGCGACTCCGCTGGTTGCGGGGGGCCCCGCCAACCCCCGGTTGGCGCTGCTGGCGGGCGCCTGGTGGCTCACGCGCGAGATCGAGCTTTCTGCCGCGCCCGCGCACATGGTCACCTTCCACGCCGGGACGGACGGCCGACTCGCTTCCACGTGGCTGTTGCCCGCGTCAAAGACGGACACTCGGGCCTTAGGCGTGGCCCGCACACACGGCTGCTGCTGCGGCGCTGGGGTCTTCGGCAATGCTTGCCCGGCCCACGCGCTGTGGGCCCAGCGGTCATGGCTCAGGGCTCGGTTTCCTGCGCGGCATTCGGCGGACGGCCTGCCCGCGCCTGACCTGGCCTTGTTCCCGGACCCCGAGGGCAAGGTGTGCGAGAAGGATGCGGTCGTCGCCACCATCCGGGCCGCCGCGGAGGCGCTCGGCCTGCCCGCGGTCTCTGCAGACGGCCTCCACCTCTGGGGAGGGCACTCTCTCCGGGTGTCCGGCGCCCAGAGCCTCGCCCGCGCTGGCTTGGACATCTGGCTTATCCAGTTGTTGGGGCGTTGGGGGAGCGACGCTGCCCTCGGGTACATCCGGGCTGCGCCGTTGGCGGTGTCCACGGCCTGGGCGCTCCGGGCCTCTTGCGGCGCCTCCCCGGGCGCGTCGGTCTCGTTGAGCCTGGACGAGGTGGCGGGCCAGCTCGCGGCGACGTCAACAGGGCACCAGGCCCGACGTGAGGGCGCCACAGGTCCTGCGACGGCATCGCGTCTCGACGATCTTCTCGAGCGGGTTCGCTGCCTCGAGTCCAGCGCCGGGGCAGGGTCGCAGGAGCGGGCGACGATCCGCCTCGACGTCGCGGAGATAAAAAGGTACTTGGATTGGGAGTCCCTTCGTCTTCGGGCGATCAGCGAGGAATCCTGCCAGGGCGCCCCCGCGTCGCCTTCGGCTGGCCTGGGCGAGGACGTCGCCCTCGTCAGGAATGAGGCCAGTGGCGTGTACCATGCTGTGCTGGTCTTCGACGCAGCTGGAGAGGACAGCCAAGGTCTCTGCAGGTGCCTTTGGCATTTTGAGTGCGGCCGCAACGCCGTGCGCGTCAGTGCCCTTCCCCGGTTGTACAAAGACCTCTGCGGGCGCTGTTTCCCAGTTCTCCGCAGGGCGCGCAAGGCGGTGCTGTGCGGTAGTGCGGGCCCCGGCAGCGCTGGTCAGGATGGGCCCCGTGCTCGCGGACCGCGCTAGGCCGGGTGCTGCCGCAACCGCATTAAAACATCGCGTGCGCCCTCGATGTTGGGAATCAGTTGGTCCAGGCGGGTCGGGGGGGTATGCCGATCATAGGCAGAAATTGTTGCTAGTGGCCGTTAGGACGTGTGTAACAATTTCTTAACTCTGATCCGGGTGGAGGGCGGGCTCAGGATGGCGTCTCGCTAGCCTTCGCCGGACGTGGCCGTTTTGGCTGAAGCCGGCGAGTTGCGAAACGTTCCCACCCACCCTAGTCCCGTTTCGGATGAATTCTGCATTTTCCCATTGCGCCTGGGAGCGCGCAGAACGCGGGCCCCGTGCTCGCGGACCGCGCTAGGCCGGGTGCTGCCGCAACCGCATTAAAACATCGCGTGCGCCCTCGATGTTGGGAATCAGTTGGTCCAGGCGGGTCGGGGGGGTATGCCGATCATAGGCAGTGCAGCGTTTCGTGGCCCTATAGGGAGCTCCACCAAATGGCCCCAGTGCCCCAGTGGGGGTACCCGCATGCGCCTCCACCCACCCAGTACAGCGCTTCGTGGCCCCACAGGGAGTTCCACCGACGGCCACAGTGCTACCGCCCGCATGCGCCCCCCCCCCCCACCCAGTACAGCGCTTCGTGGCCCCAGAGGGAGCTCCACCGAAGAACACATTCACAACTGCGGTACTCACAACTGCACATGGCTGGGTCCTGCGCCAGGATAATTTCATCACCCCCCGGGGGCCGACGGGCCCTGGGGAAGGGGGGGCAAAGCTCGACGATTATTTGTGTTTTCAGCGCTTGGGTTTTTCAGGGGGAGAGCCACCGGGAGGGGAAGCAACCATATCAAAATGGAGGAGCGTCGTGGAGAAGGAGAAGGAGCATTTCTTTCCTGTGCGTTTCTTTTTCCCCTCCCTTCCCCCGCCCCTCGCTCGCCTCGGCCTCGCCCCGAGGCCGAAGACATCTCGAAGAAGGCCGCCCAGGAGGAGAAGCGAGGGCCCTGGCTCGACGAGAAGCGCAGGCCGGCGGCGGCGTCGCGTGGGGGGCAGGGTTCGTCAAGCAGCGGCGAAGTGTCTTGGCTTGCCTATAGGCCCACCGAATAATAGCATAATAGCCTGTTGTGGCTTGCGTGAAATGTCATTCGAGCAATTCTGTCTGAGACTGTATAGTTTGCATAGTCCGGCCTTGTAGTTTAAAGACAAAGCATTTGTTGTTCAAACATTTTGAGGGGTTATGAGAAACTGTTGTGGTAGGCCTATAGGGCTGCCGGGACGGTTTGTCCTTGCTGAATTTCGGTTGTGGCCAACTGTGGCGGAGGACCTTCGCGATCCTGTTTGCTCAATGTTCTTCATGGTCTTGCCTCGTATTACCCTACTGCTGCTTCCGTGGTAGCCCCCGCTGCATGTCGGCACAACAGGAGCGGGGTCTCATAGCAAAGCGTGCTGGGTAGCATGCATTGTTTCCACACCTTGTCCACATTATGCCCCTCACAATGTCAAGCAGACCCAGAGGGCCCCGGGGGCTCCCAAGCAGTGCGAACATTTGGGAATACCTTGGGACAGGAACACCCGTGGGACCCCCCGAATGATGAGGAACGTGGAGGTTGCAACAGGAGGGGGAGACTGTATGAGGGTGCAGGTGGAGAGTGATGGAGGGCGGGAGGTGGTGAGAGGATACTCATCCTTGGAGTTTTCGGAGGTGTTCAAACGTTTTCGATGGTTCTAGGGGTGTCCAGGGGAGACGGATAAGCAAATGACTGCATCCCAATTCGTTGGGTGCAACAGTCGACTTGTTAGTTTTTTTACCACCTAGGCGGGGTCATTGGCCGTGGATGCCAGATGCAATCCAGGGTGTCCTGGAGGTTCCATGACTGAGGAGGATGAAGCCCTGTCTCCCACAGACCCAAAGCTTCCTCCCACTGAGCCTTGTTGCTGAACGTCATTGGGCACCTGGGGGTTTTCTTGGAGCTTGTGTGGCCACCTTGGGGGATCACGGGACCGCTCAGGGCTTTTGTGTGGTCCTCTTGTAGCCGCCTCGGGGCCCGAGAAGCCAGTGGAAGCCCGCACAGACAGGATCATATTTCACAAATTTCTGGCCCTCTTGTTGGAGCGATGGAGCGTCCAAGGAGAGGTCATTCGGCCACCTTACGCCGTCTGTGCAGTTCGTTGGGCCGTATTGGAACATTGTGGGTTATCTTGGGGCCATCGTTACACCATCTCGTAGCCATCTTTGGGCCAGCGCGGAGCCTGACACGCTTTGGCACGCGGCCTTGGCGGGGTTTCGCCCGCTCTTGAAGGGTTTTCGCCCCGGCTTCGGCCCCAGCCAGATCCGCAGACCCTCCAGGGCCGCCCTTGCGCGCGCGGAGTAGATACCTCAACACTCCGACTTGAGTAACCTGTGTGAGGGATCTTACACACCGTTGGCCCGTTGTGCAGGCGAATTCCTTGTCCTTCTCCTCCCTCCTCCTCCCGCGTTCTCGGCCGTGGGTGTCTACGGTGCCCCAGAACAAGTGAGGGGAGTAACGGAACTACGGATGCTCTCGGGGTGTCATAGTGTTTCGGCCTTCAGGTTATCGTCCGAGGTGGCCGTGGCAGAGGCCGAGTTCGATGGAACTTCGAGGTGGCCGCAGCTGAGTTAGGGAAGAGGCAAGACGGGAGGAGGATGAGGTGTTGAGTTTGTTCTCTTGGTATTTGCCCCCCTCTCCGCCTTCAGCGGCTTGCCCGCTCCCTGCACTGGCCCAGAGCACATATAGCATGATCGACGACACCGTACGCGTTGAGATGTTTCCTTGATGTCCTTCCCTTGCCTACATCTCTGGTTGCTGGATGGACGAGTGGTGCGAGAAAGAGATGAATAGAGAGATAGAGAGAGAGAGAGAGAAACAAAGAGAGAGAGAGAGAGAGAAAGAGAACGATAGCATGAGAGATAGAGGGTGGGAGGGAGGGAGGGAGAGAAAGAGAGAGGGGCAGAGGGGAACAGACGGGGAGGATAAGCGAGGTAGGGCGAAGTCATTTCTTGGTGCTACTCAGTTCCCCAATTGCGGCACACCAAGCATGGCATCTCTGACATGACCTTGCATTCGCGGTTCGATGAGCAAGGCATTGTCGTTGTGGTGTGTGTGTGTCGCTGTTGCGACACCGACCACCGTGCTTTTGCTTTACAATTTCCCTGCTGTGCAAACATTTATCCTTGACCCGCCCACCCCCTCGAATTGCAGTTCTGCGGCCCTGGCGTGGGCACCCCACTAACGAGGAACGCGTGGCTGAGCGGCCACCTACTTTCTGTAGCTTCAGCGATCCTTTACCCGAAGATCGTACCGTATTGCATGGGCTGCATGGGCGTTCTCCGCGCGCCGTCTCCTTATGGGAAAACGGCGTGGCCCCATCAGCAGGGCTGCCATCGTCGATACCCCTCCTCGCCGCCGAATCCGATCTGAGGCGCTTTGAGCACGACCCCAAAGCACTCTAGTGCATGTTCTCATCGAGGACGCGGGGGCTCTGGCGCTTCTGAAAACGAAGTGCATGGCCGCTTCAAGAGCAGTTTGGGAGGTATGCCCTAAACAAAAGTCAGCGAGACCTGGCCCCAAAACATGTATACAAAGTCAGCGAGAATTGCCCCCCCAAAAGAGGAAGTAAGCCAGCGTTGGTCTCTCTTTGCGTGCCCACCTTCGCTTCCGCCGGTCTCGGCACACCTTCCGCCGGCCTTAGGACGACGGGCTTCATTTTTGAAGCACTGGCCTTGGGCCAGCCTCAACCGATGGCGATGGATCCATCCTTCCATTCGCGGGAAAAGAGGGCCTTCTTGGAGCGCCCCGATTTGGAAAGGCACATTTGCGGCGGGGCCGCGACGGAGGGCGCAAGGGCACCTCCTCGCCCGCCCGGCTGGCAAAGCCAAGAGCCGGAAGGAAGGAGGGGTGAGGCGGAGGACGAAGGACGAGAGAAAAGAGGAGGGAGTCAAGCTGAGTGTGGCAAGGTAGTGCCAGGCAGGAGAGAGAGGCGGACCGCAACGAGTTGGGTTGCACTGCAAGGAAGCGGGTCCAATTGCAGCCTGACTGGAACACGTCATACAGTGAGCGGCTTAACTAAGGAACACTTACTTTTCAAAAGGGGCTCGGTCGTTCCGTAGGTTTGCATGCGTTATCTACAGTTCCTTAAGCGTTATGTGTTATGTATCGTTCCTTATGCGGTATGCATTGGGAAAAAATGGGGCTTCGTTCCTTATTTATCGTTCCTTAGGTCAGGCCGATGACTGTAGGTTCCTTTTAGTGAGCGCTTGAGCTCCTCCGAGGGAGAGCCTGAGCTCCGCCGAGGGAACGAATGGGCGGCTTTGAAAGAGCGCGAGGGCTCCGTGCGAGAGGCAGCGCGCTTGCGAGCCTTCGTGGCAATGCTCGGGCGAGAGCGCGTGCGAGCCATCGATAGCGCGCCGGGAAGCTGCCAGACAGCCTGCGATGTGTTCTTTTCAAAACGGGGCTCCCCAGAGGTCCAGACCCTTTCCCGCGGAGCCACCTTTCCATGCCGAACATTTGTTGACGAGCCCTGTTGTCCAGGAAGTTCCCCCAGAGAGCATGCGCCACAAATCAGCGGCGAGCGAGGAAGGGAACTGAGAAGGAGAAGGCCTTCTCAGAAGGCGGCGGGACTTCTCAGAAGCCCTCACGCCGCCGGAGAAGTTGCCTGCGTTTTCGAGGAGGGATCGGAACACTTTTCAGAAGGCCGGGGAACTTCCCGACCAACCAACAAACGACACTAACCCACCTGCGGCCCTCCATGTTGCGCTACGGCCAATCGGAGGCCGCAGCGTATACCACGCAACAGCCATGCCAGATGCCCTGGTATACGCCAAGCCCCGTGGGGTCGTGGGTCGGGTGGTGTCGTTCGTTCTCTCTAGTCCAGAGGAGGAGGAGGAGGAGGAGGAGGAGGAGGAGGAGAAGGAGGCGGAGGAGGAGGAGGAGGAGGAGGAGCCTTCTGAGAAGGCCCGCCCCTCTTTACTTCCGCCCGACTTCGCCGCCAAACAAGGCCTTCTGCCGCGATTTCCGCCCGACGCGCGGAGGTCGGGAGCCCTTCGAGAGAGCGCCGGGTAGGCTGCGAGAGCGCGGCCGGCCGGCCCACCGCGGGCGCGGCCGCCAGCGCTTCTGCCTGCCAGGGCCGCCGCGGTGATCCAGGCGGTGCAGCGCGGCCGTATGGCCCGCCGGGTCGCCGACAGCTTGAGGCCGCGGCGAGTCTCGGAGGAGGAAGAGGTGCCCTTGCCGCTGCCTTTTCCTCGTTTCCCCCTTCTTGGGCCTCCTGGGCGGCCCTCGTCGCCACCGCTGGGTTCGCCTCCAAATCTTAGTCAGAACGCACCCCGGGCGAGGTCCAGGGAGTAGCGGTATCGGTACCTGATGGTTTCGGTGGAGGTTGGCGAGACTTGTGTACATATCCATTGCATTTTGGTGTTGCGGGCTCCGTTCCCCAGAAACCCGAGGCGCACTAGATATGGATAAAGATCTGGCCCGCAGTGGCTTTTTTTATCCATATCCAGTGCGCCTCGGCCTTGTGGCGCCCCTTGCAAGAAAGTCCGAGCCGCACTGGATATGCCCGCGCACGGGGGGGGGTGCGAGGGGGGCGGCCGTCTGAGAGAAGGCGGGAGGGCTGCTTGGAAGGCGGGCGGTGTCCTGGGGGGCCCTCCCGGCTTCAGGGAAGGGTGCACGGAGTCTCCTGGGCCAGTCCAGGAGGGCCTTTGGGCTTTTGGGGATCCCCCCGCCTTCTTTCCGAGGGCGTCTCTCCTCGCGCCACCATTGTGTGGCGCCGCCAGGGTTACGTTCTGGAGGACCGAGAGAGGGTGTTTCTTCAGCCTTGGGCCATAATGCGCTTTACGGCGCCCTTCCATCGCGTAACGCCCTGTTCCCCTCCTCCCCCACCATTACCCCCCCCTGCAGTGCGGCTCGGGCGCTGCTGCAGCGCACGTGTGCACCGCGGCCTCGTAGCAAGGCGCGGTCGTAGCTCCTGCGTTGGGTCACGTTGCGGCTGCTGTGGCATGTGCAGGGCCTGGCATGTTGTTACGTACGCATGTGGCGTTCGGGGTCGCCAGGGGTAATTCGCACACTTGCCGTGCGCGCACAGATTGCAAGGACGTCTCGAGCGAGGCGTTTGTTGTTGCACCGCCGACGCCACTCCACGATGGCCGCGATGCAGCAGGCACAGCACTTGGACACTCGAAGGGGGAGCCGCCACGTAGCATACCAGCTGCAGATAGAAGGCAGCCTACAACCTACCGCAACATGTTCAGTCTCATTCGTGTGAAAAGTTGGTTCGCGCTCAGGCATTCCTGGAGGAAAGTGTCAGAACATGAGATGTACCTGGAGGACCCTCCCGCGACGAAGAACTTACCACGTTGAAATTTCTACACGCGTGCATCTTGTTCATTATTGGGGCATTGCCCGAAATCTCGGCGTTTTGGAACACTCGCCGATTTCAGGCATATCTGGCGCCCCAGAGGTACCATATCTGGCGTCCCAGAGGTGCCTGCGAACGCCGCCACCCTCGGAGAGTCATTTCCGCGCGCGCGCGCGTAATCTCTTTGTAGTTGAAAGTTTTCCCTGGGGGCCGTGGGGGAGACGTATCTATGCTGGGTCCTCCCTATTCCCTCACCTCCCTCCTCTCCCCGCCTTCGCCTATCCATGTGTCGTCCAGCCTACGAGACGCAGCACCTGCATTCTGATCGCAGCTAGCGCAATGGTACAGACATAGTGTACAGGTCGCGCCCCCCTCCGCCTGACCCTGGTTCACAAACAGGTTGATAGTCCCATGATGGTCATCCTCTGCGGGCAGAGGATGACCCGGCGGGGCATATCGACACCGCTCCGGTATCGATCTCGGCTGGCCCGATCCGATTCGATCAGGACGATCCGATGCGGCTTGGTGCTTGTGGAGTTGTTGTGCATCTTGGCGTGGCCCATTCGATTTCTCGGCAGCGAGCGAGGGGGGGACATGAGAAGGAGAAGGCGTTCTCAGAAGGCGGCGGGACTTCTCAGAAGCCCTCGCGCCTTGTCAGAAGTTTTCTTTGTCTTCGGGGAAGGCTTGGGAAACTTCTCAGAAGGCCTGGGGACTTCCGAGCCTTCTGAGAAGGCCTGCCCCTTCTCACTTCCCCCCCGCGCTCCCCGCCAAATTTCGACTCCCTGCCGATGCGGCACGATTGGATGCATGTTCCGATTCGAACTGACCTCGCTATTTCGATGCTGTCAGCCACGCGCAGAGGGCGTTGGGGAAGGGTAGAGAGCTTCTTAGAAGCACCTCTGGTTTTTAGGGGCCTTATCATATCGGGGAAACGTAAGACTCGAGTGAGCCGGAACTCGGGTTTGCCGACTTCTTCTTGACGAGCGCGTCTTGGATGTTGACGGTCCATTTTCCGTGGGATGTCTGCAGCGGGAGCCCGCGTCAACATTCAGTTTGGGTCTCGTCACTTTCATGATGGCCCCCGTCAGGCCAACCCGAGTCCCCCGTGCCCGAGTCTCACAGGGGGGAGGGAGGCCAGGAGTCGGTCCTCCCGAGCGGGCCGGCGGCTCCGTGGGAGGGGGCCTGGTCAGCAGGGCTGCAGAGGTGTGGGGCAGCTCCGAGAGGGCGAGAAATATGGATCTGGGCTGATTTGCAGCGGCGGTTTCCCGTCTCCTTGCAGGGTCGGCGCGCCCCGTCGCCGAACGAGGCGGCGCGGGCCTCCAGTGTCGGGGGTGCCGTCCCTGATCCCTGGAGCTGGCGGCCACGCGGCAGATCCGCAGATCCTCAGTCCCTGTCAGCGTGTGCCCGACACAGGGGGGGGCGGGAAGGGGGGAGGGACCGTGACACCTTCGCGTGTCGCGGCAGGAAGCTGTCGGCCGTGTTCGGCCTCCAGGGGCCCGTACTGCGCGTTGGGGCTGTCAGACAACGGCTCGGGACAGACCTGTGTGGAGCCGCGTTCTTTGTTAAACATCAAGTTCGACGTTGGATGTCTGCGGAGAGTGAGGGCGGAGGACTTCGAAGGGTAATTCAAGATGCGTCGCGTAACCCCACCAGCCCATCCAAGGACGATGCCCAGAGGAGTTGCCTCGATCACAGAAGTGGGCAGCACACAGAGGAACGGTCCCTCTTGGAGCGCTCTCGGGACTCTCTTGGGCGTTATTGGGGCCGTATTGGGGCTCTCTTGGGCCTCTCTTGCGACTTGGTGGCCTCTTGCCGGTCCCGGGGGCCCCTTGGCGCGTCTCGGGTGCCTCGGGGAGCATTTTGTGGCCTGGGGGGTCTCTCGGGACCCTCTTGGAGGACTCCTGGAGGACTTTTGGGGCCTCCTGGGTGCCTCTTGGGGCCCTCTTGAGGCGCTCCTGGGAGAGTTGGGAGCGCTCTTGGGGCCATCTTGGAGGACATCGGTCAAACAAGAGGGGGGAGCTTCAATTAGCGCCCCCCCTCGGGAGCCTCACACATCGCCTCTTGGGGCGCTCTTGGAGCACTCTTGGGCGCTCTTGGGGCCGTCTTGGGGCTCTCTTGAGCCTCTCTTGGAGCCCTCTCGGGCCATCTTGGGGCCATGTTGAGGCCTCGGCTGGCCATCGGAAACGAAACGGCGAGAAAGCACAAACCAGTGATTTGCCTTAGGTGTTGGATTTGGACCTCTTCGGGGCCTCCTTGGGGGGCTCTTTGGCCACGTGGAGCCGTCTTGGAGCGGTCTTGGGGTCTCTTGGGGCATCTTGGGAGCCATCTTGAGGCATCTAGGGGTATCTTGAGCCATCTTGGAGCTTATCTTGGAAGCCTCGCGGGACGTCCCGTACAGGTCCAGGGGAGGGGGTAGGGGGAGGGGTCAAGACACCCGTTAGATAGCAAGCTGTTTAACCCATTCCCTCCCGCCCTCCCAGCACATCAGTAACACCCGAGCCTCAGCATGTTCAGCGGTCGCCTTTGGATGGACAGCTACTCGGAACCAAACGCGACCCCAAGTGCGGGCTTTTGGGGCGAGGTGCGCCACGCGTGCCAGGCGCGCCACGCGCGCCAGGTACCCCTGGGCCCCGAGCGTGCCAGGCACGCCTGGTGCGCCAGATGCGACACGTGCTCCGCGTGCGCCAGGTGTGCCGCATGCTCCAGCCGCGCCAGGTGCGCCACGTTCGGAGCACGTGCAGAGTTCGTCAGGTGCGTCTGCGCACGAGACAGCACACATCTGGAAACATGTCGACCCCCACCACCCTTGTCGAACACCAATGCCCATCATTTTGTTTGGTGGGCCTGCGCACAGCAGACCATTCGCCATCACCGTCACTGTCCCTGTCAAAAACCGCTTGACAGTGATCGCGGGGTGGCCGCGCATGATCCAGATGTATCCGCGAGGTGAATTGTGTACAGTTGTTTGTCAGGCTGTCAGGGATGGTGGCCGTGCGCACAGCAGGCAATATGCTGACACCCCCGCCGTCCATATCAAAAACAATAGAGACTGCTCGCGGGTGTCACGAACAGGATTTCAGACTGGGCCCAAAAGTGTACTCTGTATTGTTTTGTTGGCATGGATTGTTGGGGGGGGCGCATCGGGTTGGCTCCGAATTTGGAGGCAGAGTGCATTTGTTATTGTGTGTTTACCGGGATAGTGGGGGGTGGGCGGGAGCATGGTTCTGGGTTGGCCCCCGGTCGCTTGAGGGAGGGTATATATATATATATGTATATATATATATATTATGAAGGAACAATGGTGAACCCCATCCCCGAAGGGCAAGACGGGCAGATAGAAGGACAAACCACCCTAGACCACCTACGCACTAAAGGGCGGTGGGATTCTGGAAGAGCAGGGACAGAGATGATGAGGAGGATAAGGGAGGGTGAGGGAGTCTCCCTCATCCCTTGTTGAGGTGGGATGGGGGAGGAGTACGGGAAAGAGGAGGACGAACATGGGGACAAAGAGGAGAAGAAGAGGAGGGGATGATCCTCCTTCTCCTCCTCCTCCTCCGCCTCCTCCTCCTGCTCCAGCCGTCGGGGTCCGCCACGTCCGCAGGCAATTCAGGCTGCAGGTGCAGACGACGCTTGCCATGTCGAAGCCAAAGCCGAAGGTTCTTCGCGTGGAGGGGCTGTCAGAAGAGTGGGACGGAGACGGGGAATGGGGAAGGGATCACGGACGGGGAGTGGAGAGCGGTTGGGAGTAGGAGTTGGAGGACGACGAGGGGATGAAGAGAATGATGATAATGATGATGAGGAGGAGACGCGGAGGACAAGGAGTCAGGAGGAGGGGGACTTCTGAAATCTGGATGGGGAACTGTGATGCAAGAGGGGGACGGGAATAAGGGAATTGTGTGTGAGAGGATGTCAGCAGGAAGACGATGAGCAGCAGCAGATGCAGCAACAGTAGGAGCAGCAGCAGGAGAACCACGCACAGGCGGAGGTGAAGAGTAGGATTAGACAGACAAGGAAGACACTGAGGAGAAGCAAGGAGGAGGGGGGGAACAATGATCACGAAGAGCTAAGGGGAGGATGGGGAAGGGCAGAGGTAACGCTGCCAATGAGAGCTGATGTTCCAGAGGCCCTCATGGGGTCCTCTCAGGACTCTCTTGAGGCCCTCTTCGGGCCCCTTTGGGGCTCTGTTGGTGGGTCTTGAGGCCCTCTTGGACTCCTCTTAGGGGCCTCTTTGGAGCCCAGGCGGGCTTCTTGGGGCCATCGCGGAGGCCTCAGGGGGGGGGGGGGGAACCTGATCCATGTCCCCCTGAGGAGCCCTCAAAACTGTCTTTTGGGGCACTATTGCGGTGCTCTTGGGCGCTCTTGGGGCAGTCTGGGGAGGCCCGTGGGGCCCTCGTGTTGCTCTTTTGGGCCATTTTGGGACCATCTTGATGCCTCAGAAGCCCATCTGACGCGGAAAGGCGAGAAGGCAATGTGCATTATTTGTCCTTGGTTCTCTTGGCACGCTTGGCGGGATCCTTGGGTGGCTCCGGCAGCACTTGGAGCCGTCTTGTGGCCATCTTGGGGCCTCTTGGGGGTTTGCCGGGAGCTATTTTGAACCATTTTCAGCGATCTTGAGCCATCGTGGGGGCCATTTTGGAGCAGCGGAGGCCCTCTTGGAGCTATCTTTGGCGAACAGGGACCCCCTGACACATTCGTCCTCCTCACACCCAAACCCCTGGGACGGGGCAGGGGAAGTGGCAGATCCCTTCCCGAAGAGAAGAAGGGAGCTGGGAGCAAGCAGCGCAAGAGCTTGCTCGACCACCTACGCCCAGAGGGCAGTGGAGAGGGATGGAGAGGCCGATCCCCCAGACCCGAGCAGCGCGTCGCGGCACGCCGAAGATAGAACATGCTCCCGAAGATTTCGGGCTGCGGCGGCCAAGGAGGGAGGAGGGAGGGGGAGGCGGAAGGGGCATGAGGAGGGAGCAGGAGGAGGAGGAGGAGGAGGAGGAGGGGAATGGGGGGGAGGAGGAGGAGGAGGAGGAGGAGGAGGAGGAGGAGGAGGAGGAGGAGGAGGAGGAGGAGGAGGAGGAGGAGGAGGAGGAGGAGGAGGAGGAGGAGGAGGAGGAGGAGGAGGAGGAGGAGGAGGAGGAGGAGGAGGAGGGGAGGAGGAGGAGGAGGAGGAGGAGGAGGAGGAGGGAGGAAGCGGGAGGAAGCGGGGAGGAGGAAAAGAGAGGAGGGTGCAGAGGAGCCCATCCCGAAGCCGCGGGCTGGCACGGCACCCCAGGGCCGGCCGCGCGCCGCGGCCTGGGCCGCAGAGGTGCCCTTCTCCAGGGCGGCGGCGCGAGGGCGCGAAGGTACAGTCGAGGCTGAGTAGTGCAGGCAACCCGCACGGCAAGGACGGGCAGTTCTCCCAAGGGTACCTGTTGCTTGCATCCTCGTCTCGTCGGTCCATCCTTGGCCACTTTCGCTGGCCGCGCCCCGCTCGCCAAGCTTCGGCATGGCCTTCCAAGGCCCCTGACTGCGCGTCCTGATGATACGGGTCAACTGTAGGTCTACCCTGTCAGATGAAGGGCACTCCTGTGTCATGCCTTGCACGTTCCTATGGCAGTGTGGCCCTCGGAAGGGTCTTGTGTCCTCTCGCGTGTCTTCTCCAAGCAACATCGACTGTAGCCGCGCGCCGTGCATCACGGGGCACGACGAGCGAAGTTCCTTGAGATTCGATTGCGAAAAAGTTGTACCATCGCAGGGGATCGGCATGAGGTGGTCCCGGGGCCAGAAGCAGGGCTAAAACGCCCAGCGCGCACAAGTTGCAACGCCCGCTTTTCCGAGTTCTGCGGCCCAGGCACCCCTCCCGGCCGCTCGCCAGGGCCAGGGGTGGCAGGACGTTGGCCTCGGGCCTGGGGCGCAGAGGTGCCCTCTCGCAAGGGCGGCGGCGCGAGGGCGCGGAGGTAGCCGTAGCGTCGCGCCTCGGGGGGGGGGGCGGGTGCGCGTTCCCAGAGCCGCGAACCCTTCGTACCTTACCATGGAAGCGCGCTGCCAGGGCCACCATGCCTGATCCATCGCCGCAGGATGGGCGCGGCGCGCGAAGACAGGTGACCTGGGCGCCATCCTTGGCCGCTCGCCAAGGCCAGGGTCAAGCAGTGGCGAAGCGTCCTGACTCGCCACAGGCCCACCAAGTAATGTTACAAGAACCCTTTTCTGGTTTGCACGAAACGTTCTTAGAGCACTTCTGGTTCAGGCAGTCTTGGTTTAGTCAATCGGCTTTATGTTCTGAGAACGGTGCCGTTGCTGTTGCTGTTGTTGCTGTTATTGATGTTGCTGCTGCTGTTGCTGCATGTTGTTGCTGTTGTTGTTGGTGGTGGTGCTGCTGCTGTTGTTGTTTAGGTTGCTGGTATTGTTATTGTTGTTGTTGTTGTTGTCATTGGTGTTACTGCTGTTGTTGTTACTGCTGTTGGTGTTACTGCTGTTGCCCACTAAGGCTCCCGACGCAGCCCACAGAGGCCCCAGCCCACAGAGGCCCCAAGCGCGCCCACAGAGGCCCCCGCGCGCTGCCCACTGAGGCCCCGCGACACAGCCCACAGAAGCCCCAAGCGCGCCCACAAAGGCCCCAGCCCGCAGAGGCCCCGAGCGCGCCCACAGAGGCCCCCGCGCGCTGCCCACAGAGGCCCCCGACGCAGCCCACTGAGGCCCCAAACGCGCCCACAGAGGCCCCAGCCCGCAGAGCCCCCTAGCGCGCCCACAGGCCCCGGCGCGCTGTCCACTGAAGCCCCCGACGCAGCCTACAGAGGCCCCAGCCCACAGGCCCCGAGCGCGCCCGCAGAGGCTCCCCCGCGCTGCCCACTGAAGCCCCCCGACACAGCAAACAAAGGCCCCAAACGCGCCCATAGAGGCCCCAGCGCGCAGAGGCCCCAAGCGCGCCCGCAGCGGCCCAAGCCCGCAGAGGTCCCAGAAACGGCGCTCTCGCATGAGACTTCTTCGCAAGTAAACGAAGTTCGCGGATGCCCAGCCACGACGACAAGGCTCCCGCTCGATGTTTCCTCGCGATCTGGGAGGCCCTGCCCAGAGATGTCCCCGAACTCAGGACCAGCGCTCTCGTTGTGGGCATCCTTGGAACTCAGTCAAATTGGAGAGGCCTGACGGCCGGTGCCGCCGACCCTGATCGAAAGGGCTAGAAGCGGGGGGAGGAAGCAGGAGGAGGAGGAGGAGGAAAAAGAAGAAGAAGGAGAAGGAGAAGGAGAAGAAGAAAGATAACAATAAGAGGAGGAGGAGGAGGAGGAGTAGGAGGAAGAAGAAGAAGAAGAAGAAGAGGAGGAGGAGGAGGAGGAAGAAGAAGAGGAGGAGGAGGAGGAGGAGGAGGAAGTGCATAATTTGTGTGCCCGCTCGAAGAATGTGCGCCCCGGGAGTGTGATATTCTGACTTGGGACGTGTTCCCGGAAGAGGAAGAAGTACATTTCGGGCGTGCCCGCTCGAGGAACATACGCCCTAGGGGGGTGGTATTTTGACTCGGGGCCCGCTCCCAGGACGCCTCTGCGGGAGGAGGAGGAGGAGAAGGAGGAGAGGAGCAGGAGGAGGAGGAGAGGAGGAAAAGGAAGAGCACCAGGAGGAGGAGGAGGAGGAGGAGAAAGTGCATCCCGTGCGTGCCCGCTCGAGGAAAGTGCGCCCCGGCGGGCGTCGTATCTGCCCCGGCCCCCCCCCCCTCCCCCCCCCCTCCCTCCCCCCCCTCTCTCCCCCCCCCCTCTGCGGGGAAGGGATCAAAGGGAAGGGGCTTCCCTTCAACTCCACTACGACGTCGTTTCATTTCGCTTTGGATAGCGCGCTTGACGAGGAGAGCCTTGGGAGGGGGAGAACGGAGACGACGGAGACGACGAATCGAGCGGAAAAACCCTTCACACAGGCCGACAGGGTCGGCGGATTAGTGGGGGCGCAGCCGCGATGACAAGGGCTCCCGCTCGATGCCTCCTCGCGATTTGCTCCGAGAGGCCTTCTCGCGTGGTCAATCCTTATCTTCCCCCTTCAATCCTCCCTTCCCCTGTTTTAGGGGTTGCGCTAGATTTGCGCGGCAGGTAAAGAAGATATACCCCCGAGGGGGTACGGTCGAAGACAAAGAGGGCGGGTATCGAGGGTTTGGCATATACGTGTTGCGTGGCATGCGATCAAATAAGAACAATTTGTCATGAGCTCATTGTTGTTTTTGTTGTTGTTGCTGCTGTTGTTGATGCTGTTGTTGTGGTTGTGGTCGTTACTGTTGTTGTTGATGTTGTTGTTGATGTTGTTGTTGTTGCTGCTCTTCGTGTTCGTGTTCGTGTTCGTGTTCGTGTTCGTGTTGGTGTTGGTGTTGGTGTTGGTGTTGGTGTTGGTGTTGTTATCGGTGTTGCCGTTATTGGTGTTGGTGATGTTGTTGTTGTTGGTGGTGGTGGTGGTGTTGCCGCTGTTGTTGTTGCTGCCGCTGTTGTTGCGTAGGTTGTTGCTTATGGTGTTGTTGTTGTTGTTGTTGTTGTTGTTGTTGTTGTTGTTGTTGTTGTTGTTGTTGTTGGTGGTGTTGTTGTTGTTGTTGGTGTTGTTGTTGCAGGTGCTCTTAGAACATGCCGTGGTTCTAGAAGGACTTCGCGGTCGGGCTGTAGGACACTGGCCCCGGGCCCCGGGCCAAGGGGTGGCAGGACATTGGCCCCGGGCCCCGGGTGGGCCCGGGTGCCCCGTTACGCCTCGGCCGCGCGCGGGGCGTGGCTGGCCACGGGCGTCGCTCGTGGCCGCATGTTCGGGTCGGACGGCGGGGGGAGGGCCTGCAGAGAGTTGGCGGCGCGCACGAGGGGGTAGCGCGAGGAGGGCGGCCTCCCAAGAAGGCGGGGGGCTTCTAAGAAGGCAGGGGCTTCAGAAGCCCTCCCAGAATCGAAGACAACTTCTTGGAAGCCTCCTGGCCCTTCGTGTAAGTCGGGCCCGCCCTTCTACAGGAGGAATATTCAAAAACAAGTCAAACATAGTCTGGGGACCATTTTTTGAGTATGTGTTTCGTCCATTTGGGAGTATCTGTTGAGTATGTGTTGTTTGTCGTCGAAAATCCCCTGTAGGGGGACACGCGCCCGAGTTAACCCTTCGTAAGAGGGTCCGTGCCTTCTGAGAAGCGCGCCGCCTTCTCAGAAGGCCCACCCCCCTCGCGCCGCCCCCTCCCGCGCGCCACCAAGGGAGAGGGAGCAGGAGCGGGAGCAGGAGCCAGGGCGAGTGGAGGCAGCGGCAGGTGGTTCTCCAGGGGCCCCCTCGTGGCCACGGCTGGACGCAGCTCGGAGAGCTCGTGCGTTTGGACCCCAGGAGGGGTGCGGGGGCCGTGGTTGTGAGAGCCGTCGTTGTCTCAACTCGGCCTGCTCTGAGGGGGGAGGGGGGGGGGCATGATATCAGGGGGGAGGAGGGGCAGGAAGAGAGGGGGGCGGCGAGGGGCCAGTACAGGCTAGGTGCGCTCGCGCTGACATTCTACCTCTCTCACCCGTCCCTTCCCTGGGCGCTGTTCTCTCTCCATCCGCCGACGGGTGGCATATCGGACCTGGAAGCCCCGAACGGGCAGCATCGTGCTGCGCGCAATCAAGGAACGGGGAGCTCCGAATGTTGGAGGAGGCGGCGGCGGATGACCTGTTTCCAGCACGATGTGCGGAGGCGGGCAAAAACAAGAGGGAGGAGGCGGCCAGACGGCGGCCGCCAGCCCACCCTCGACCTGGCACCCCAGGAGCGTCAGACTGTCAGACCGGCAGCCGCCGCCCCACGGGCAAGCCAGCGGTGAGTGTAGGAGGGGATGCCGGGGACGCCCCGCGCCCGTGCCAGACCCTCGGCACACCAGCGAGGAGACCTCGCCCTTCCCCCGAGCCTGTGCAAAGCGCGAGGGGGCCCGGCGCTGGGACCTCGCCCCCCGCGGACTCCCTCACGCGGCCGCTCCCGCCCCCGGGGAGCCCCAGGGGGGGGGCAGACACGAGGCCCCGCCGCGAGGAGGCAGGCTCCTCCTGGCAGCCGGCCACGCCTCGAGCGCAGCAGCACCGAGGCCCGGGGGCTGCGGCGCCAGTCCGCCCGCCGCTCCAGGCGGGGGCACGGCGCGGCCTTGCCATCGCGAGGCTCTGTGGAGGCCTGGACGCCTGGACCCCCTCCATGACCGGGCGAGGAGGAGGGTCGGGTCGGACGAAGGGGGGGGGAGAGAGAGGTGGCAGGCACAAGATCTCTCGCATGCAGTTGGTTCGCTGGCCCCTCTCCTCGACACACGGTCGCCTCTAGCGCCGGGAGGAAAGCAGCTGCATGTAGAGTTGACTCGTCAACCCGCCCTTTGCTGTACCTCCCTTCCCTCCGCCCCGATTGGTCTCCGATGCCGCCGACCACATCACAAAGGCAGCGTTTCCCCCGCGGGCTGTCCTTGGATGGCTCCGAGGGGCCTTCGAACGACAGAAGGACCTCCTCGGGGCCCAGAGCTCAGAAAGACGTTCGCCGTGGTTGTTGCTGTTCGTGACGCTGGGAGGTCTGGGGGCCCTCTCCCCCCCTCGTTGGTTTGTTTGTGAGATGTTCTCGTCGTCGCCGTCAATCATCGTAGCCGCCGTCATCTCGGCTTCGCTCTCACACCCAGACGCTCACAGACGCTGGTAGCGGGACGTGCCAGGAAATGAGATGCACATCTGGGGATCTCCGCTTCGACTAACTGCTCGTGACGCTGGGGATGTCCGGGGGGCCCTCCCTCACCACTCGCCGCTCGCCCAGGTCCGGCTCCACCTGCGCGCGGGGACCAGGACTGGGCCCTTCTCTGCGGCTGGCGGGGGCCTCCGCCCGCGAGCAGCTTCGTCGAGGGGGGGGGGCGAGAGGAGGAGGAGGAGGAGGACGAGGAGGAGGAGGAGAAGGCTCTTTGGGCAATCTCCCTCCCTCCGCCTCTCTTCTCCGCCTCTCCGCTCTTCTCCGCCTCATCGTTTCTCTCCTCTGAGGGCGATGACGACCGACGCCTACGCCAACGCCGACGCCTTCTCCCCTCCTCCTTCCTCCCTTATCCCTGCCATGCGAGATATGGTCGGCACCCTGGCGGGCTGCTGGGGGAGTCTGCACTCACCTGGCGACGGCGACAAATGAAACAGGTCTGGGCTGGGAATGCGCTCTTGAGTGCTATAACTATCTGAGTTGGGTGCGGTGCCCCTTCTGGTAGTGGGCACGCGCTGCTGAACGGAACCTCCGCAATCCTGAGGTTAGCGATCCCGAGCGGTAGGCCCCTGCACTTGCCACCCCCTCCGGGGCTCAGGCGATCTTTCCCAGTTAGGTATTGTGCTGGCGTCCAGCCAGGCCGCCGATCTGGGGCGCTCCTGATGATGATGATGATGATGATGATGATGATGATGATGATGATGATGATGATGATGATGCTGAGGCTGAGGCTGAGGCTGAGGCTGAGGCTGAGGCTGAGGCTGAGGCTGAGGCTGAGGCTGAGGCTGAGGCTGAGGCTGAGGCTGATGCTGCTGATGCTGATGCTGATGATGATGATGCTGATGATGATGATGCTGCTGATGATAATGATGATGCTGATGATGATAATGATGATGATGATGATGATCATGATGATGATGATGATGATGATGCTGATGATGATGATGATGATGATGATTATCATGGTGCTGTTGCTTATGATGGTAATGACGATGATGATGAGGTTGATGATGCTGCTGCTGATGATGATGTTGATGATGATAATGATGCTGCTGCTGCTGATGATGATGATGATGATGATGCGTATCATGGTAATGGCCATGGTGAAGAGCATGAAGATGGTGAATGACGACGACGATAGTCAGGAGTGTGATGCTGGTGATGTTTTTTTTGTGGTGGTGATAGCGGTGTGCCCATAATGATGTTGATAATGATGACGGTGGTGTTGATATTGATGATGTGAATTCTTACGGGTGCGGACGGGAGGACGTACAAGTGAGGGCAGGGAACGTCGGAAGTTTGAAAAGGAGAGAACCCTGCCTCCCCCCCCACACACACACACACACACACAAACACACACACACAAACACACACACATGCACACGCACACGCACACGCACACACGCACACACGCACACACGCACACACGCACACACGCACACACGCACACACGCACACACGCACACACGCACACACGCACACACGCACACGGTCACGCACACGCACACGCACACGCACACGCACACGCACACGCAACACACACACACACACACACATCTACCAATTTAGAGAAAATGAGTACTTGTTGCCTCTCGGGGTCCTCTTGGGAAGGCTTGTGGGGCTCTTGGGGTGTCTCGGAAGCTTCTCGGGCCGCCTTGGGGCAACTTAGGCTTCTTGGACCGATCGTTCGATGATCGGGGGCTTGCTTGGGCCGTCTTGAGGGCCTCTTGGGGCCCTGTTGGCCCGTCTCGGGCTTTTCTCGGGCTCGAACAAGTCATGCGGGAACATTCTGGGGGGCCCAGGGCGCGCGGGGAGCCCCAAGAGATTTGGGAGCTTGGGGTCCGGGCCCATTAAGAATACTCAGGCTGGAGGGCTGAGTCTCAGGGGATTGAGCAAGGGACCTGGGGACGCCTCTTGGGTGTCGTTTAGGGGCCTCTTGGGGCCTCTTTCGGGCCTCTTGGGAGGCTTTTGGGGCCTCCTATGGGCTTCTTGAGGGCCTGTTGGGGCCTTTTTGGGGCTTCTTGGAGCCTCTTGAGAACCTCGTGAGGGGAAAGGCTGGGATTGTCGGTTCGGGCCCTCTCCTGGGGCTGTCTTGGAGCCCTTTTGGGACAGCCTGGGCGCTTCTTGGGCCGTCTTGGCGCCCTCTTGGAACGTTTTGGGACCTCCTATGGGCCTCTTGGGGGCGTGTTGGGGCCTTTCGGGGGTTTCCTGGAGCCTCTTGAGAACTTCGTGAGGGGAAAGGCTGGATTGTCGGTTCGGGCCCCCCCTCTTGGGCCTCTCCTGGGGCTGTCTTGGAGCCCTCTTGGGCCGGCTTGGGCGCTTCTTGGGCTGTCTTGGCGCATTCTTGGAACGTTTTGGGGTCGTCTTGGGAGCTTCTTGAGCCGTCTTGACGCTGTCTCGGGGGCCTGTGGGACCGTCGGCAACGTCGTGAAGGCCGAAATGTAGTATAAGGTAAACATATAAGTTTTTTCAACAGGGATTTGACGATTTGGACCTCGTGGGTCTCTCTTCGCAGGTGGTTGGATACCTATTCAGGCGTCTTGGAGGCGTTTTGCGAGCACGACATGCGTCGGGAATTGCGTTTGGAATGGCGTCGGCCCCGCCCCCTCCCCTTCATGGTCAGAACGTCGGAACGGCGTCGGGAGTGGTGTGGGCCCCCCCGCCCCCGAGCACTAAATGCGTCGGGAATGGCGTTTGGAATGGCGTCGGCCCCCCTATAATGGTGTGGGCCCCCCCGCCCCCGAGCACCAAATGCGTCGGGAATGGCGTCCGCCACCCTTCCCCTTAATGGCGTGGGCTCCCCCGCCCCCGAACCCTAAATGCGTCGGGAATGGCGTCGGGAATGGCGTCCCCCCTCCCCCCCCTTGCAGAGCGAAGCTTAAGCGAGCTCAAGTCCACGCTCTCAGAAACTCACACGCCAGATCGGCGGATTCCCAATGCTCAGGGGCGTAGTGCTCGCTACATGTGTTTGCACCGAGCGAGGCTCAATCGACAGGGACTGAAGACGTTTTCGTGAAGGCGGCCTTTGCAGTCAAGCCAAGTCCACATAGATGTCGTCGCCTTCTGCCACTGCGACCGGCTTCGACCAATGTTAGCATGGTCGGAGCTCCCGTGCCCCCCCCCCCCCCCCACGCACGGGACCCTCTTGCATCCCCGACAGGAGACCGCTGTAGACCCCACGGCCACCCCTCGAGCAGTTGGGGCCCTCAAGGCCGATGACGTGCAGGAGTACGTAGATACCGTCTCGTGTGTAGCATAGGTCGAGCGCTGTGTTCAGCCTGCCCAGCGTCGGCCCTAGCTGCTGCTGCCGCTGCCCCCGCTCCACCCTCACTTCCCGTGCCCGTCCCTTTACCAGGCTAAACTCGGGACCGCAGCGCTCGCACTTTTGAACGGGCCAGCGCGAGACGAGCCGAACGTTCTGCCGCAGCGAGTGTGTAGCACTTGCCAGATGTAGCCCTTCGGAACCTGGATCCGAACTTCGACGCGGGTTTGGTCGATAATAGTTGTCCAACACCTGCGCGCTGACCGCTGTGCTGGTACCGTCGTCAGTGGGAAAGGTCCTGTGACGGCACGATATGGGTCTGTAAGCGGCACACTTGTCGCGCACCCCGTGAGCGAACATTTTGGCCGATCCATCGACAGACATTGCACAATCCATTTCCTATCATGTCCACTGCGTTTGCGCTACTGTTTTGCGCGCTGGAGCCTTGTCTAAAATTGTATCGGCCAGTCGTAGTGGCGATGTAGTGCACGACCGTATGAGTTATATTGCAAGGTGTTCTCTGTGTCTGTCGTCCAGGCCCCTTGCCGGACAGCACCGCTGTCGCCTGCACGGCTATCGGGAGTGTTGGGAGGTGATATGTTAGCGAGCTTGCCCAGAAGAAACAACCCGAAGACAGGAGCAGCCGTCGTGCAGATTGCTTTGATACTGCCGTCGCAGGCATCCATCCTTGATGGGAATTGTGCTGACGTGATTGCGTCGTTTGCTTTGAGTCTGCTGTCCTCGTCGGCCGTAGCAGAACATTACCGCGTGGTTTGAACTATTCCTCGCGTTGTGATGCCTCCATCTGCTGACAGGCCAGTGCCTCATCAGCCGCACAATCCAATCCAACCATCCGTTTCTTCCTCTCCTTCTCTCCGCCTCCTCAGCATCCTCCCTCTTCCTCGTGCCTTCATTATCCTCTTCATCATCATCATCCTCCATCCTCTACCTCCTCCCTATCCTCGCTCATCCTTCTGAGGTCCCAGAGCCCAGAACTGGGACGTGTCCTTCCTCTTCTAGGCTTCTGGGTGGGAAGCCCCAGAGGCCTCCCATGGGCCTGCGGGCATCTCGCGGGCGCGACACGGCGTCACCATTCCCGACCTTCCCCTATCCATTTCGGCATCCTTCTTTCATTCCATCCCCCCGCGTGCCCCAATCCTATCCCCCTCGTCCCGTCCTTATTACCCTCTTTCTTAACACCCCTCCCCCTTTCACCTCCTTCCTTTTTGTCTCAGTTTCCTCACCCTCCTCACTTCCCCTATACTACTCCCCTCTCTCCCCCGAGTCTGCCCACCAATACGCGGAGAGGATCCCGCCCAGTTCTCGTATTGCTCTTTGGAGCACTAGATTTGGCAAGTGTGGAGCTCGCGAATACGCGGAGTGGATCCAGCATGATGAGCAAGTAGGGGCTCAGAGGGCATCTTCGTGCAATGCCTCGTCGTTGATCGAAGAAGCCCGATTTGAGTAGGGTGGATCCGAGGCAAAGGTTTGAGTGATGATGGCTTTCATAAACATCCAGGCGAGTCCCAGAAACACGCCCGGGAAGTTCTGGATTGTTTGCTCCCAACCATCCTGTGGTGTTGGGTCTTCGTTTTGAAGAGACGTCGCCCCGCGTTCCTCTCCTCTCCTCCTCCTCATCTTCCTCCTCCTCATCTCCCTTCCTCTCTCCTCCCGTCATCATCATCATCATCATCATCATCATCATCAGCATCATCATCATCATCATCATCATCATCATCATCATCACCATAAGCGTCATCATCATCGTCATCGTCATCACCATCCTCCTCATCATCCTCATCATCATCGTCATCATCATCATCATCATCATGGCCATCATCATCA